AATTTTTGAGGTTTATAAGGGCAAGAATTTACATTTGTTACTTTAATAAGGATGAATTATTATTTGGGCAGGATTAAGAATGTTATTAATAATGATGTTTGGGCAGGTTATAAGGGCAAGAATGTTACATTTGTTACGTTTAATAATATGAATTGTTAATTTTGAGGTTTATAGGGGCAAGAATGTTACATTTGTTACATATAAGAATGATGAATTATTAGTGTTGAGCAGTGATAGGGTTAAGAATGTTTAAGAATATTTAAGTTCATAGTTTTAATATTGGTGAACATATGATATCAGATATTGAATTAGATATGATAATTGACTTCAAGTAATAACAAATAACAAAAACAGTAAAGTTAGATAAGACTTTATTAAAGTTAATCTGATATCTGACACATAATCATAATCAACTTAAATACTTTGGATTTTTAGTATTATTCATATGATTTGATGTGAGCTCTGTGATGATCATGTGACTGTAATTTACAACAAAATTTCAGAAATTATTTAATCACAGTGTCGTATATTTCGATGTGAGTTTTCGTTATTGAGGTGAACTTGGACTATTCTGAATAAGTAATGGAACATCTATTTATATATATGTATATTTCTTTTTCTTCTTCTTTCTTCCTTTCCTTTCTCTCTCTCTCTCTCTGTTTTCACATTTTGGCAATACATCAGTCACCCTCCACCCGAATCAGATTTTTATAAAATGAAACTACGACAATATTATATATATATGTATATATATATAATATATATATATATATATATATATATATATATATATATATATATATATATTACACACACACACACACACACACACACACACACACACACACACACACATTAATATATATTTACACACACACACGCACAACACACACACACACACACACACACACACATTACACACACACATCACACACACACACACACACACACACCCACAATATAATGATGCCCAATTTCCGCTAAATCACTGTCGACGAACCGCTTCCTTGGCCCACCTGTAAGCTGCTCATCGTAGACAAGTGGCACTGCGCTGAGGCATTGGCACGGAGGAGCGCCGAGGTGTCTTGCCCCCGTCATCGTTGTCCTCCGCTTCCTCAGGCACTGCAGAACGCGGTAGTTTAAGAGAGAGGGAGAGAGAGAGAGAGAGAGAGAAGGGGGGAGGGAGAGGGAGAGAGGGAGGAGAGGGAGAGGGAGAGGGAGAGAGGGGGGAGAGGGAAGGGAGAGAGATACAGAGACAGACAGAAAAAGAAAAAGAAAATAAGAAAATGAAGTTGCAAATGCGCAAATGTGGAAAACTGTAGAGCAATGGATTTCGTTTCTTATATGACAGAATCGCCTAGGACTAATTTTCGGACACTGTAACACGGGAGAAGATGTTACATATATGCCAGGTTGTCTTTTTAAACTACTTTGAATGTTTACGTGAAAAAAGAGAGACTGCTACTGTGGAACAAAGAGACAAAAAACAAGGCTATATTGATACTAATCATAATTTACATAGAAAATACAAAACAGACGAGATGAAAAGGGAAGAATAACTTACAGTCGCAGAGGGACAGAGCTCGAAATTGGTGCCTTTGAACCCTTCGAGAGGACACCAGCGAAGGCAGCTTATTCTGTAAGGGAAGAGGAGTTCGTTCCAGACAAGATGACTTACTCTAAATCCTTACTGTGCGGTTATAAAAACACATTTGACTTGAGGATATTTCACCCGTGTATAACCAGAATTGTTCGAAATTTATACAAATAATCACCAGAAAAGTAACGTGAACCCAATTAGATAGAAATCGAAAAGAAGTAACTATTTCTCACGCACTAACACCCCGAAATATAAATGCTGATATATCCAATTGCTCCATGACAATGAGAGGTTTGTATAAATTTAAGAGACAAGGTGATTGCTACAGGGTAACTATTCTAATTCGTTGTATGCTACGAAGTAATAGTGCTAGTATTTTTTTTATGAATAATAATAACAATGAAGATAATGATAATGATAATGATGATGACAACGACGACGAAGATGATTATAATGATGACGACAACGAAGATGATGATAATGATGACAACGACGACGAAGATATCATGACAACGACGACGATGATGATGATAATAATGATGATGACGATGAAACGTTTTATTTCATACACCTCAGACACGGAACTACTCACGTGAACGAACTCGGAGGCCGTTCCCCCCGCGTGGTCCCGGCGCTGCTACTGAACAGAGTCCTCTCTCTCTCCCGGGGCGTGAAGGGGCGCTTGGTCTGCACCGTTCTCACGCCCATCCGCTGCACGCCCATTCCGGCATCCCCGAGATTGATGGCATTCCTTGCTTCGCGGATGATCTGGGCTGAGGTCTTGCGGTCGGGCGGGGCATAAAAAGGCGAGAGGATGTCCTGGCCGACAATATCCCGGCGGCGGTCGACGGCTTGGCTCAACATGGCGCTGCCTCGTTCGGGTCCTTGTGGGCTGGCAAGAGGGACCGGCCGTCTGCGGGAGGAGCAGGACGTCATGTCATGTCATGTACGTAAACATGAAATAAATAGAAATGAGATCATTAACAAAAATAAGTAAAAATAAATCAATAAATGAATAATGAATAAATAATAATAATATATATGAATAAGATTATTAATAAAACTAAGTAAAAATAAATCAATAAATGAATAATAAACAAATAACAGTAATAATAAATAAAAATAAGATTATTAATAAAACTAAGTAAGAATAAGTCAATAAATGAATAATAAATTAATAATAATAATAATAATAACAATAAATAAAAAATTATTAATAAAACTAAGTAAAAATAAGTCAATAAATGTAATACATTAATAATAATAATAATAATGAATAAAAATAAGATTATAATAAAACAAAGTAAAAATAAATCAATGAATGAAAAATAAATAACGATAATAATAAATGAAAATAAGGTTATTAATATAACTAAGTAAAAATAAATCAATAAATGAATAATAAATAAATAATAATAATATATATGAATAAGAGTATTAATAAAACTAAGTAAAAATAAATCAATAAATTAATAATAAACAAATAACAATAAAAATAAATAAAAATAAGATTATTAATAAAACAAAGTAAAAATAAGTCAATAAATGAATAATAAATGAATAATAATAATAATAATAATAAAAATAAGATTATAATAAAACAAAGTAAAAATAATTCAATGAATGAAAAATAAATAATAATAATAAATGAAAATAAGGTTATTAATAAAACTAAGTAAAAATAAATCAATAAATGAATAATAAATAAATGATAATAGATATAAATAATATTATCAATAAAACAGTAAAAATAAATCAATAAATGAATAATAAATAATATAATAATAATTAAACATTAAGAATATTAATAAAACTAAGAATAAATCAATAAATGAATAATAAACAAATAAAATAATAATAATAAAAAATATGATTATTATAAAACTAAGTAAAATTTAATCTTAGTGAGATTAGGTATTTGGTATAGGTATTACAATATATATATATATATATATATTATTTATATATATATATATATATATATATATATATATATATATATATATATATATATATAAATATATATTATATATATATATATATATATATATATATATATATATATATTATATATATATATATATATATATATATATATATATATATATATATATATATATATATATATATATATATATATATATATATATATATATATATATATATATATATATATATATATATATATATATATATATATATATATATATATATATGAACGTGTGTATGTTCGCGCGCGCACGTATGTATTCGGATACATCCAAACTTTATCCACTGAGTAGACGCATAAATAAAACACAAACGCAGTCACACGCATCTGAAGACGAGCCAACACCAGAGCGGAACGCCGGCCAGAGTTATGAGCCACCTCGCCTCAACACAAAGGGCAAGTGAGGCTATGCATCTTGTGTTTAGGCATAATGGTCCCTGAGATACTGTTGATTTATGCGGCTTCGAATACACTGCACTCGTACTTGAGAGATAGGGTTAAGTGTGAGAGGGTGTATAATAATTTCGTACGTCAAGCTTTGCTATTTACGTTTATCGTGTGAAATTAGGGAACACCTTCAATATCATGTAATATTTCTCGCCCAAAATGGACCATGCGTTTCCACTGTAAATAATACCTTTCGATGTCTTCTGCCTGTCACACAGAAAGAATCCTCATTCTTCTAAAAGCATCAACATATCGGTCAAATACATGTATAAGGGACACATACTTCTCATCATTAATATTCAATACATTCATCATACACGGTTCATATTCTCATTCTATTTAAAATAATGCAATTCTCCCTCTGTATCAGACGGTAAAAAGTATTTAAGTCCAGGTCGTGTAGAAGTGTTTGAACGTCTGAGGCTAAGATTCAGGCCAATGGAACGGGCACAGATAAGTCATCAATGTAGTTCCCTTGTTAAGCTCAGCTCCACGGGAGACCTTGTTAGAGATCATCCTACTCTATTTGTTTTCAGCGTTTGTAAACACCCCTGAAACCCACGCAGAAATTTTCACCATTTTTTTTCCATACAAACATATTTTTCAACTATTTTCTTTTGTAAACGCATCGCTCACGCAGATTGAGGGGCAATAAACTCGCTTATAATGACAACAATTCCGAGAAAGCATTTTCCTCTCCGAGTAAGACCAATCAGCATATTTGATTTTGATAAGGAAAGAACATGGGAGCGCCTTGTTCACTCTTAGATGGGATCAGAAACTGTCCTCTTCATCTTGTTACTTACGCATGTTAACAGTGGAGGATGATACTCTGACAGGCGTGTAATCAACTTTATATAACCTGATATCTTTCCTAAGTGTGCTGCCACATTCCTTGCCATTTATTCTACGGAGATATACTGAGATGGCATCCATCAAAGAAAAAAAAAATCCATCCAATCAGTAAAGAAAAAGTCAAGCACTTAATGTTGAAGGTCATGAGGATAATGATACTGATAATCGTTAAAAAAATAAGTATTAATGATGACAGTGATGACAATTATTTTCATTATAATTATTAGTATTATCAAAAATTATTCATAATTTTGCTGCTGTTGCTGTGGTATAATCCTTATTATTATTTTGTTGTTATCAATACTATTATTATCATTATCATCATTGTTAGTATTTTTGTTATTTTTAATTTTGCTCTTGTTGTTGTAGCATAATTCTTCTTCTTTTTCTTATTATTATTATCATAATTATTACTATTATCATTATCATTATTATTATCATAATTACACTTAAAATTATAATTACCACTAGTGTGCTAAAGCTAATGGTAATGATAATGATGATAATCATAATAATGATTATTATCATCATCATTATTGTTATCATTATCATAGCATTCACGGTATTATTATGATGATTATTATTTTTGTTGTAGCTGTTGATTATTATTATTATTATCCCTATTGTTGTTCTCTTTATTATTATTATTATTATTATTATTATTATTATTATTATTATTATTATTATTATATTATTATATTATTATTATTATTTATTATTCATTATTTATTCTTCTCATTATATTATATATTATTATTATTATAATTATTTTCATATATTATTGTTTTCACTATTAATACTATCATCATATTATCATTTATTTATTATTAATGTTATTATTACTCTTACTTATCATATCATTATCATTATAGTGATAAGAAATAATGATGATGATGATGATAACAACAACAATAACAGCCATAACAATAATAACGATAATGACAATACCAAAAAATAGTCATCACAACGATCTTAACACAAATGCCAATTATCTCTCATTTTCTAATTTTATCAGCTGGTCATCAGTAACCTCCAATAATATACACAACTGTCAAACTCGAATTAGGTGTAGCTTGTTGATCCAAAATTTTCGTCACAGCTGGACATTACTTATCAATCCTATTATCACTACAGAAAGAATAAGCATATGCGAACGACCCCCTGTCCCATGACCTTGTTAAAGAGGTCACTAAGGCGTTACGTTTCACAGATTTTACAGACTTGAGATTATTAGCGTTTTGTTCGTATTAGTTTCCCGTCAATGCATTTTTCGATTTTATGAATGATTTATTCACCATCAAGTCGTGGGGATGATTCGGTATATGCCCCATGCTATCTTCATAAAAAATACATGCACATAGAATTGCCTTAGTCATGCATATTGAGCGCGACAAAGTTCATGGCATCAACAACTCGGGAAGATTCATGATCTCATTAAGGCTAACCAAGCGAGACTTCGCCTTCATCCTGGAGAACAAACATCAAATCGAAAATGTTATATTATCAAAAATTATTTTCTCGAGCGCACGCGATATAGAAATAATGATATAAACAAAAACAGAGATATGTAATGTAATAAATATTCTCTCTCATTAACCGCATTGTTACTATTACTAAAATTGGAATAAGAATAAACAAATAAGGCTAGTATAGGTTAATAAGTATAGGAAAAAACAAGTTTTATTTATTTGTATGTGTGTGTGTGTGTGTGTGTGTGTGTGTGTGTGTGTGTGTGTGTGTGTGTGTGTGTGTGTGTGTGTGTGTGTGTGTGTGTGCGTTACGCGCGTGTGTTGAAGTAAGCAGTAACACAAACGGAAACAAAATGAGTTTAAAAACAAATACCACAACAGAGAAACAATTATTGGTTGTTGTTAAAAGGAAAAAGAAAAAGGAAAAAGAAAAAAAGACGCTTGACGTGAGTCAAAGAAAATCATTATTAATGGCGGCTGGACAAACAAAGGAGGGAGATAAATTACGAAGACAACATACACGAATGACCTTGCAAAGGAGGAGTCATTTCCATCAACAGGGAGAGGAGTTCAAAGGAAATGCTTTTGGTTGCCAGATGTCTGCTCTCGCTTGACGGAGAAATTTGGATTAGCGGCTTTTGGTGCGGTTTCCAGGTTTCGGCTTTTGGTGGGCTAAGAATTTCGGCTTTGCGGTTCCAGATGCGATAAAAAGGTTTCGGCGGCTTTCGGCTTTGCGGTTCCAGATGCGAATAAAAAGGTTTCGGCTTTTGGTGGCTAAGAATTTCGGCTTTGCGGTTCCAGATGCGATAAAAAGGTTTGGCTTCTGGTTGGCTAATTTCGGCTTTGCGGTTCCAGATGCGATAAAAAGGTTTCGGCTTTTGGTGGGCTAAGAATTTCGGTTTTTTTCGTCTAGCTGATAATTTGTTTGCGAATTCGGATGTGGATGATTTTGATCAAGAGACTGGTCGGGATTTTAGATGCTGGAGGAAGGAGGCCCTTGTAGTAGAAGTTGGATTAGGCTTCTGGAATTTCCTAAAAAGGTTTATGACATTTCTCTATTATGCCTCGTATTGAATTGCTTTTCACTGCATGTCGTTGGTGAACTGTTCAATATTTGTTGCATCATGTTAACAAATCAC